GGGGGGGGGGGGGGGGGGGTATAAGGATGTGCGGTGTAATAGAAAAGCAATCAGTAATATGCCGGGGGCGTTGCGTCATAGGGATGTACAAATATGTACGTCGATAATTTTATTTTTGTGTAAAGAAATTATTAAAAAGGGTTCAAAAACCTTAAGGATTTGTTTAGGTGTACTACTGGAAATGATTAAAATTATAAGAGAGCTGACAAAGATATGTATTCCATACTAATGTACTTAAATGATAGTTCTATGAAGTATTGCGCTGGTGGCTAATTTATTTGTAAGAAAAACCTAAACTTGAATTCACGGTTTATCCAGACAACTAAAGTAAGTGTCAACATATGTTTTACTAAGTTGTCATATCGTTGGTCTGTCCCAACACTAGTGACGTCACTGGGTATTACAATAGCAGTCCGGGGCTGCGGGGTTACTAATCTCATTGGCCCACCCCGTACTCTCTCATCTATACGATACAACTGGTAACTTCAAAAGATGAATAGACTCGACGTGATGTAACAAAATATTGCGGTTTTGTTAACAATGACGTTCCATTTGTAAATCCTTTAAATTATGTCAAGTATAGACGTATAGGACATAAAAGAAATAAAAGGGTAAGATAAATGTATTTCAGACTGTTGAGTTTATGACTCTTGTGTTTACACGCCTGATAATTAAACAAGAAAAATCTGCCACAATTTTGAAATGTTAAATTAAGTGCCATCTTTGATGTAGATATGATACTATTATACTATAACGAAAAAGTAATTAAATAAGGACATCACTTTAATGTGATTTATTTTAACATTAATTTGTTACATTTTTAATACCGTACGGTAACTTAAATAAGGCATGTTTATAAGACCAATTAATTTTTTTTCTATACATTTTGTTTACGGCAAATTTTACGCCATCTATGATGAATAAAGTGAACTATAAAGACATTGAAAAGAAACACTGTTGTTGTAGATACTATTGCAATACATAGATGGCGCTACCATATTTTTTAAACGAAAGCTTTAAAAAGGCTTTTCAATACTATTATTAAAGAATAAAATAGCATTGTTTTTGGCAGTCTAGCGTATGTAGGCTTTAACTTTTTTTAAGAGTAACACTGAAGTTGAACCTACATGTAGGAGTAAAAGATTTAGCAAGAAATAGCGGAATTTGATCTGTGAATCTGATAAAGTTTACATTTGTTGTAACATAGCACGTTAGCGCCATCTGGACAATTTGCAGTCTGAAATAAGGTCTATTTCACGTGTTCAAGCTCCTACGTGATTAAAGGTTCTTTGTGGACAAAATATAGATTAAGAACTACATTAGTAATGTGCGATAAGTTGATAATCCAATCAGTATAATGAATGTCAAATTGAAATAAAACTGTAGGTACATTGCCCTCGTGCGGTACGGTCGCACCGGGCGGCGGTGAAAGCAATTGTTATAGATAAAATGTACTAAAATGTAACAAATGTCTCGGTTGGCATAATATGATAAAACGATGACGGGTCGATGCTGTATATATTTGAGTATAAATGTTTTTATTTGGCTGAAAGGCACAGCTCCGGGCGGCATTTAACGACAGGAATTTAAAAATAATTTTGAAGAAATTTGATTAGAGTAAGTATTCTTCATCTGTTTTTTACATATGTATATTGATCTGGTGATAAGAGTTAAGAGACAATGTTAAAACACAAGAAAAAGGAACAGAAACTGAAAAATATATTTCAATTCAATATGAAAGAGATTTCAAATTCGGTCGCAAGTTTAATTTTGCAAGTTCATTAAAGCGAAGTTAATTTAAAATTGTTATAGTTTGAAGCTATTCCATGGTAAAAATATTGATGATTTGAACTGTCAGGAAGCTTGTCAGTGGCAGCTAATGACATCATTTAATGTCATTTCCTATCGTTATCATGTTAGCTTTTATTTTCATGACGAATTGAATTTGTAATAACGACCTTATTCAAGTAAATCTTTCTGATTTGAACTTTACGGAATCACAAATATATTGTCCGTCTGAAAAAAGTGTAATATTTTTCGCGTACGTTTGTTTTTATGTATGTGGATTTGTATGTATGTAAAGTCCATTGTGACCGCTTGTTCGATTCGTTTTCTTCCCCGGGCTTTCATAGGTTATATTACATTGGTGCAAGAACACATACAGTGGATGTAAGAAATTATGTTCGGGAAAATATAGTTTGGTAATTAAAAACGTTAAAATTATAAAACGTTTATTTTACTTATTCCGGATAAAATAAATAACTACTGAAGTTAATTAAATAATCTTTCACCGAATAAAAAGCTGTGAATATCGGTAGTCAGCCCCGCCCTTATGTTTTATATTGTATGAGATAAATAAGGGTACGTTATTGATGTAGATATTAATTTACCCAGGTGCATGCGGATGTAGATAACGAATGTGTAATTATTAATTTCTATTTTTCACGAACGCGATAACACAATTAATCTGAATAAAATGCGAGCGTAAGCAGCAACTTATCAATAAAATAGCAATTGCTGATATTAGAGACATTCATTTATTTGCATATCATAATTAGTGCCAAAAAGACGTCGTGTTCAATAAAAAGTGTTTCTTTGTGATAATAAGAAGCGTGCAAGCAACAGGTTTTATTGGGAATAAGGTGAAGTTTAATTAATTTTAATAATTTATTATATTATGTCGCAAAGTCAATGGACGGCCCAAATTATAAATAAAAGAAGTTATAATTATGTGTTGCTACACCTTTTTAAGTAGATTATGATGTCAAATGTTATCAATACTGCAAAAATATTTACATCGTTTTACATTCACCATACACGATTATTTACATTATACGAGTAGAGTTACTGTTTTCGTCTTAATAATGTAGGAGCGTTCAATAAAATAATAAAACTTTTGTCACAGCATGACGGATAGAGTAATAAAAAGGCATATAAATGGCCAAACAAAAGAGAAAGCCGAAAAGGGCGAAGTAGACGATGGTCCCAAATATTGGGATCCCCTGACCGACGGCGTCAAATGGATAGAGAAATATGCTGAGCCCCTGGAGGAGTTCTTCAAGAGGCTGCCAGAATTTATCAGCACTTTCATTGCTACACTCGCTGTGTTCACATTCGGCGCTACTTTAAGAGGTTTGTATTGAAAATATTTTCATTCACTTTGTATGTTGTACATTACAAGAATTGTTGGCTACGATATGATGACATGTTGAAGTTGAAGTTTCGGTATGTTTTGATTATGAATTTAAACTTTTTTCACATAAAATCTGTGAAATTAAAAAAAAAACACAGCGATTTATTTAAAGAAGTTATTGAAAATAAAAATGATCTTAAGTATACTAACTATTTATTTTACTTAGTTACTTAACTTTAAGGCATGATAACGTTCATGTTAAAGAGTCTAAAATGTAATTGCCATAACAAGTACTATTTACATTGGACATAGGTTAGTAACAATGTTATTGAATCTTGCATATCACGGCACTCAGGTAAAATTAATCGAATTTCAGTATGAAATGGATAAGATAAAAAAGATTTGACGTTTGTTATTTGATCATTTCATAAATCAAGGAAAAGTACCTCAGATATACAATCCCATACATTTCACGTAAATAAACCTATAGCAATGACTTTTTATAGACAATTTTTTTCTGTTCCAGGAGAATGGGTGGTAATCTTAGTGACTGCCCTGAAGCAGATCACAGGACACACACAGAGCGAGCGTAACATGACTACAGAAGAAATATTTAACTTGTTCACTTCACAAAACCTCAAGATGGAACATTTTGGAATCATATTTATATTTGCCCACGTCGTGTCCCTCTCCATGTACTTTTTGTTAGGAGGATTTCTTCATGTACGTATTGTTAACCTTTCTTAGTTACCCTATACACGAGCTGGAACATTTACGATAAGGAATCTAAGTGTACTGACTCCGTCCACTTAATCTATTGCCTAATTCAGTAATCTTGTTGCCTGCTACTGGCTGCATATGCATGCAATAAATAGTAATATTTTCAAAATTGTAAATGGAATTAGCTCCACCTGTGCACCGTCGCATTGTTATCGGCCATTATCGAGCATTATCTGCTACGAGTGTACGGACACAAAGTTGTTCAACAGATTTTTCGTAAATCTCCATAGATAACTGGCTCAAAACAAAATACGCCAATTATTTATTATCGCTTGGATAAAGGAGTACTTAAATAAATTAGCGTTGACATTGATGACAAAGATAATCAGGACAATAAATTTAAAGTGTGCATCTGCCATTTTTACTTTTTGAAGCATTAGTATGTTTTATTATCATGTGTCTAGTTGGAATTGGCTAGTGCGTAGTAACTTAACAGTGGTAGAGCCCGCTTTAACATCTTCGCACGAATTGGCCCGGCTCGCCCGGTGAAATACCACGATCGCCCAGAAGACAGGCGTAAAGTGGAAGCAATTCCGTGTTTCGTCTGATGAGTGTGTGTCCCGCAGGCCTAGTTTAGTTCGCTTTCCCTTCCCACCCTTTTTCTTAAAAGAAAAGGATGGGAAGTGTAAGTGGACTTTCCGGATGAGAGGATGCATGGAAAGGGAAAATATTTTCTTTCTGTGCTTCCTCTCCTCCGTCTATTGAAGGTAGGCTGTTTCGGCGATTTCAGGTGGACGCTCGCTCGTTTGCCACCTTATGTTATAAAAAAAACTATTCCTGATTATTATCCAATACTTTGCCTGTCTCGTCCCCTACGTTTTATTATAATATTTCTTTACTTAATCTTGTGCGTTAAATTCAGTAGACGACAAAACTTTATTTCGTATAACTCGTTGCGGTTGCAGTGGTACTTCTACATGCAGAGGAAGCACCTGGCTCACGAGTGGAAGATCCAGCCCAACAAGTGGCTGAGCCCGGAGCTGGAGCGGCACGAGATCATGGTGGGCACCTTCTCCTTGCTCATCGTCGGCTCCTTCTCCGCCTTCCTCGCCTGCTACATCTACAACGGGAACCCCTCCACCGTCTACTACCAGTTCGAAGAGTACGGCTGGCTGTGGTTTTTCTTGCAGTTTCCAGTCATCTTTATCTATATGGTCAGTACTATTTTAAAGTCATTAAAATTCAAGATTAAAATCCGATTGAAGTTAATACTCTATCAAATTTGTTGATTATTTACCATAGGCCGTTAAAGAAACAACGTTAAATGCAAGCAGTTGAGCGCACTCAAGATATTTGACAACGTAGTCCTATAATTGAATAGAGGTTTTTGTGTGTGATAGATATATTATTCGTATTCAGGACTACACGACGTACATCTTGCACCGGATGTACCACACGCCGTGGCTGTACAAGCACTTCCACAAGCTGCACCACAAGTACAAGCAGCCGACAGCATTCTCCGTCACTGCTATACATCCCTTCGAGATCATGCACGTGCAGCTCACCTCCTGTCTACCGCTCTTCACCTTCCCCGTGCATTGGAGTCAGTTTACCTAAGTTTACTTTTATTTTTCGCTCTAGATTCGATGCAGTATTAGCCATAAATTTTTGAGTTAAGTAATGAAGAAAACTAAAAATCAACCTAACCCTCGATATTTAGGCGATTTTTCTGCCCGAGTAGAAAAAATGCGGTTATACCTTGACAGCTCAGCTGTAGTTTCTACCGTTTATGTTAGGAACGTTCAATAAAGATAACATTTGCAGTGCCGTTCTACCTGGTGGCGCTGTACAACTACTACCACGGCATCATTGATCACTCGGGTATCAACTTCAAGTCGCAGTGGTGGCAGCCCTGGCAGCCGGACGCAGAGTTTCACGACCAACACCACCAGTTCTTCCACTGCAACTTCGGATTCAATATGTCCTTTTGGGATAAGGTACTTTTTACATTTCCAAATAAAAATAAAGAACGTGAAAACAATAAAATACAACGAATGAAATTGTATTCTTTAAAATCATTGAAGTAGGTGTAGGCGGTCACGTGGAACGTGCTAACAATGTGCATTTTTTACAGCTCCACGGTACAATGAGGAAAACAACCCACGTGTACACTGAAGAGACGTTCCACGGCGAGGCACCGGCCGCAGACACAGCGGAGGGCCGCGCCATCGCTGTCGCTGACCCCGACGCTCAGAGCCAGCTGCAACAATGCAAAACAAGCCTCAACGCCAGTTAAATACAACAGTGTTTTTATAGGAGTTAAGGATAAAGGAAAGAAAATTTGTAGTCTCTTGTAATAAATCGAAAAATTATACTGTGATGGATGAACCATTGATGTGATGCGTATTTAATACTTTAAGGACCTGATTCTTAATGTCCATGTATGTATTGAATAAGCTATGTATTATACTTAGAACTTATTTGTCAAATAAAGTCATCTTTGGCGTTTCGCAATGTCACAATAAGCTGCGAAATGCAAACAATTTGAACTGGAGGTATTAATCAGTTAATTTATTTCTTAGTTATCAAGCTTACTAGGACATTATGAAACAGGCCCTGAATATAGTATAATTGTTAGATCTAATAAATGTAAATAAATGTTGACTGAATATCTAAGTTTTATTGTCTTTATCTTTTTTTTCTTTTCGCTTAAGAAATTTTTTTTTTTAAATTGACTCAATATAGGAATGTGTTTGTTTGTATTAACAGATATGCACTCAAAGTTAAAATAATGAGTATTTTACGTACGAGGATTATTCACTTAATATTGATATTGAATTAAACAGAATTTTAAGAGAACAACACCTCTAATGAAACGACCATTTAACCCTTCAAATAACCAGGCTCTTTTGTTCGAGAGATTTATATTCACTCATAGCATTTTAGAATAGATTTTGTATTTTTTCAGTTTATTTTGTTAAGAAAACTTCACTGATAAGAAGTGTGGTTCACACTTGTGCGAGATAAATCAACGCGTTTCGCTAAATTCGCCAAAATATAAACGAGGTATCTTTATCTAAAGGGTAAATGAAGAATTATGCTGACCGTACTGTCAGCAGAGCTCGCGCTTGGAAATTTAGGAGTGTCGTGTGTAAACCCTACGTCAGCCGATCGAGCGAGGCGACGCGGTCCGCTCATATTTGCCTACCCTGATACGAACGTGTTCAGTGTAATTTAATTTCATGCTAACCTCAGACAATTTATATTTGAAATGGAAATGTCTAGCGAAATGTGACGTATTGCTTTGATTTATATATGCACAACTGTTTAACACCGTTTTATGTATATTATGGGAATCACAAGACAAGTTTGTTAGCATTTTCTATTAACTGCTATACTTATATGTACATCTTTAATACATATATGTCTTTGTGTTGACCTTTAGTTCGTAGTAAGCAGTGCTAGATTTAAAATCTACTAAACTTGGTAAAAAAAGTCGATTACTTTTGCTACGTAATTTTCATGAAATCATAAAATCTCGACTCGTCTACTTATGTTAATCAAAGTTATATTAAACTTAAGTAAGTTAATCTTTCTTCTTAAAAGCGTTACGCAAATGCATTGCAAACATTTTCTTGAAAAATAGCAACAAGCGCTCGCAAAGAAAGCGCTTATTATGAATAAGAGTGCGCCGCGCCGGCTCTCGCTGTCGGATATTTAATTTGCTAAAAAGAGTGCTCTTGCCATAAATGTAAAAACAAAACGAAAGCATTAACTCGAGCCATTAATAAATGTGCAATAATTAAAAAAGCAAGTCGTTTATGAGAACAAGAAGATATTTCAAACCACATATACACATATTTTGAATCTTGTATAAAGCGATATAACAAAAAGATGTATTTTTTGAGAACGTTCTATTGTAAAGTCGTTTCATTTTATCATTAAGTACTTCTTTGGACACGGTGTCGGAACAGTTAAGGAAACTTTAAGAAAGTTTTAATTTAACTAGTTAATTAAACAACTTTTTAATGTTACTTTTATCGCGTTTTCTTTCATTAAGTCTAATTTAAATACGGACCGAGTGAGCTCTGAACATCTCTTTATTATATCTTAATGACACTTGTGTGCCTTCTTCGTTGTATTGTTAAATGGTATGAAACCTTTGGGTTGTTTTCAATAAATATTATTGACGTACATACACAATTGTAGGTGAAATTAGTAAAAAAGTTTTTACAGAGTTTGAATTTAGTAAAGTAAATATTAATTAATGAATTTTAATTATTTATTGTCTTGTTACGATCATGAATGGGTTTTGGTTGTATCATTTTAATTTAATTGTAAGAGGAAAGATATAATTATTTGCTTGCATTGAATAGGTCCCGAAACTATTGAACTTATTTGATAAATTCTATAACGGTTGATAGGATATATTTATTAGTAGTATTTTTTTAATATCGCGCAGATGAAGTTGTTAAAACAGCTAGTATATAATAAAAGTGATGTAAAATTTCATCGCAATGCAGGCAAAAATAACGAGTCCATCCGGTTTCGAACAAAAGGAAAATTATATGAAGCTCATACTTTTTGTTTCAACTTTTCCTGTTAGTAGTTTCCTTTACCGATGCCGGTTAAAGTGCGAACTTTTGTTCGTACCCGCGTTTCATTCATACGTTGAAACTATGTAAAATATATAAACTCTACGGTTTCTGGGAACAGGTGATCTGGCACTTTACGTACCAACACGTGACGTCACATAAGTCATGAGAATTAACTAAGAGAATACTTCGGGATTAACACTCAGTACAACTTCCACCACAAGCTTTCAGACATCAACACAGGACATTATTACGAGTATAACATTAATCAAATAATTATTTTTGACGGTTTTGAACTTAAATGTATTCAGCAAAACAGAAGTATTCATTTTTACAATCAGACTAATTTGTTATTATTAAGCTGAATAACTGAGTGTTACAAATAAAACAAATAAACAAACGAAGATTTATTCACTCGGAATACTTAGAAATGTAAAATAAAATGGCTACGTTCTACGCCGTATGCTCAATAAAGCGTTGAGAGTAGACGGTACAAAAAATACTAAAACTGGGCGGTTGTGAATAGCATCGAATCATGTACCATGGGGTTTATTTTAAAGCTTTTCATTCTTTTGAAATCGCTGAATATAACAGAATTTTAGTTGGCTTTTCATGTCCCCCGCTTCATTATGTTATAGTGCAACACAAATCTTATTCAAATTGACAGTCAGTAGAAGTTTAACCTTCATACGTACGATTAACTAAAAATGTTAAAATATTATAACAAAGCTGGGGTTGTAAATTTTAAAGTTATAAACTAACCAAAGAAACATAATAAAACTTTATAATTATCCGCCGCTGGAAAATTTCAAGTGTCCAGATGTGACAATTAAAAACATTCGCAGGGTATTCTGTTGTCTGCGAGTCTTCATAATTCAAAGCGACCGGTGCGCTCGCAGCCTGCTTAAATATCACGTGAAACATTAAAACATTATTTATGAATCTGTTCTTAACACTAACAAATACTCGCGACTTCATCAGCTTGGAATTTAAAAAAAACTGCTTAAATTACTCTGATATTGGTCTAAAAGTAATGTTTTTTTCTAATTTTATCATTCAATTTATTTCGGCCATTAAAATACCGGTTCGTTTTCCAATTTACAGAATAGCACACATTTTTCCGCATATTTACTTTAAGCGAAGGTTTTTATTTCACTTTTCATTAAATTTGCAAATTAAACGTTAGTTTTTTATGTTCATTATTTAGGGAATTTTGCTTTTGTGAAATCAATTGCTAATTAACAAGTGTGGTCAGAGTGCGGTCTACACATTTTGGTTAGATGATGAACACTTTCTTTGTTGTATATAAAAGAAGCATGCTTATTGAGTTAGCGAAGTTTAAAATGAGCTCCTGTTAACAGGAAGTAATTTAAAAGAAGATTAAAGCGTACTTATTATTAAGTATAGTAAAAGTACCGTAATTAGTGAAGAGCGCAGTCGCCGTTACTGCGCTGTTCTAGGAAGAGATAAAATGAAACGGTCCCAAGTGTTGTTTCTAAACTACGCTAATGATATCCGGCCGTTATGAGCATAATGTCCATCAATATGACATCACAACGCTTCGATACGCTCTACGAGGATTCACAACAAAATACTTAACATTTCTCTTCTTCAAATATATGTAAACACATGTTCGTACACATGACTTGTACAAGTTTGCCGTTGTTAAGCTTGCGACAAACGAGGCTGCATCTCTCAACAAGTTCAAACTGTCGCATATGATTGCATCGCACTGTACAGTTGTCCTTCTGTTTCGTTTGTTATTTTATGATTAGCATAGTAACTAAGCATTTAATTGAAGTCTCACAGCCGGCTTGTGGAATGTAATGGCGTCGGCGGTATTTCCAAACAAGTAAAACTTAGAATGGTTCAAGTAGCTAGTGTGTCTAAAAGGTCGGCAACGCATCTGCAGTTCCTCTGGTGCACTATTTCTCAACAAATACGCGCATGCTTTACTATTTACATATTAAAATCGTTGTCTGATTCAAGCTGAGGACTTTTTAATATGAAATGTAACAGCGAGCAATAAAAAATGTTGGGCTCGTTATGTAGACTAAAGACGCATTTAAATAATTTATGGTTCATAATTTGAGGGCGCTCCGCTCTCCCTGACATCATAATGTAAAGTATACTCATACGAAACCATAAAAAATCACATCTTACGAAATTTCTTAATAATTTTCACAATTTCTTACAAAGTTATGACATTTAATTTACTTTAATATCTATTTTGAACAGACGTATTATTATAAGAATGAATGGTAAAAAAGGTTTTGCCCATTCTTCTTTATTGATGTTTTCTGTTTTATTATAAAATTGTAAAATTACTTTGAAATTCATTTTCTTGATTACAAAATGTTTTGCGCCGCGTTTAATTTTACGTTAATTGATAATAAGTAATAACGTTGTCAGTTTCGCAAGCGGCATCGTCTGTCGGCCGGCGGCGACGAGGCGGCGATGAGGCGGCGATTAGGCGGCGGCACGGTGGTGGCGACGCAGCGGCAGCGGCTGGCGAGCGGCTTACGATAATTAAGTGAGGAGAAATGAAAGCAGTATTATTGGGAAGCTGAATGCGCGCTATTGTTACAAAATATGGCTGCCACTGGAGCCACTCTACTTCATTATGCTTTATTAAAACGATATCTATTAAAGGTATTAATTGTTCATTACAATTTAACGATAAAATGTTAATTAGCTTCGTCTTATACGTATTTGTTTCATGGTTGTATTAATTAACTTTGAACAGACCTGACGGAATACATAATGCTTGCTGATATGTTTTAGAGAACTTTTTACTTACATACAATAGAAGAAAACACAAGTTGAGTTTAAAAAAGAGGTCATAGAAACGTTGCAGTAGTGGTTTAATAACCTTTTCACGCACTGTAAGTCTATGAACACTCCAATACGTGGTCGTGAAGAAAATGTGATGATGACACATAACTATATAAGCCGGTGTGAAAGCTATCTCAGGAGTCATTACGTTGCGCTCTTCATAACAACTAACGACGACACTTACGCGACAAAAGCGCCGAATGTTCGTACGCACGACTACATAATGGTTAAGCTCATGTCTCGCTA